GCAGGAGAGGTCTGTGTGCCATGAGGGACCCTCGCCGGTGGCCGGGGATCGAACTGGCGCTGCAGAGGCTGCAGGCAGCTTCACAGCTCAGCGCTCAACCGCTGCGCCATCAGGGAGGCCCTATATATAATTTTTTAGTATAAGTATGTCCCATATAGGGAATGGTTCATATTTACATTAACAAATTATTTGCTGTTACTGGAAATTCTAATTTCACTGGGCTTCCTCCCTTTTATCTAACAACCCTATCCCCTGGCCTATCTCGTCCCTCTGTCCATACTGCTGGTCCCTTTCTCCAATTTTTATTTTAAAAATTGCCTACAATACAGAGCCAGCCCCTCATATCAAAGAATTTTCCAGCTCAAAATGTCACTGGTGCTGAGGTTGGGAAACCTTGGGATAGGGGACACAGAGGGGAGAAACTCAGACAGGGTAGGGTCTCGGGAGAGATGAAGCACAGGTCTGCCTACCCCATCCCTCCTCCTGCACTGCACCCACGGCTCAGTGTGGGCCCTGCAGTCTCTTATCCTGCCCTGCTTCTCTAGCCTGTCTCTGGTGCTGTCCCTGTATATCTCTGTTTATCTCTTGATTTCTTTCTCTCACTCTCAGTCATGCCATCTGCTCTGACTGGATCTTTGTGTTCTGAGACATGAGACAAGACTTTGGCATTCGTATTCCCTCGGCCCACACTAAATCACGCCAGCTGCCCAGCCCTGGGAGCCAAGCCAGGAGGTTGCAGTGGGGGAGAGTGCAAAGACAGGAGGCCTAAAGGTCCCCTCCGACCCCACCACCTATCCTGCTTTGCAACTACTGCCTGCCCCCGGGAGGCCTGGAGCTCTAGCCTTCCCTTGTCCCCAGGACCTGGGGCTTAAGTTAGCCTGCCCAAGTGGCCTTGCCCTGCCTGCTGACCCTCCCACCCCACCCCTGGCTCCTTAAATTTCTCCTCTAGCCTAGTCCAGCAGCTGTTGCAAAATAACTGGGGGAGGGGCAGCTCCTCACCTGTACCCTGCCTTAAGTAGTAAGTAACACCAGGCTCAGGACAGCCACCACCACGAGCCTAGAACGTTCTGCGCAGACACCAGGAATTTGTGGCCTCTGCCCTGGTGCTGATTTCCAGGACCGCAGCCAAGCACTCAGGGCCAGGAAGTGGTTCCCTGGGTTTGAAACCCAGTGCTTAGCTTCCAGGCTCATTTAGCAGTGCCTGTCTTGGGGACATGGTCCTCTGCCTGGTGTGGGAGCTGCCTGATTGGCCCTCCCACACACCTCACCTCACTGACCCCGGGGGCCTAGGCACCTGTGTCCTGGGACAACAGGGCCTGGCATGGCACCAACTGAGGTCAGGGAAAAGTCTGGTAGCAATTTTAAAAACACATTTGAGAGGCTTTTATAATATAAATCATTCAAATGAAAATTTAAAATAAAAATTGGAGAAAGGGACCAGCAGTATGGACAGAGGGACGAGATAGGCCAGGGGATAGGGTTGTTAGATAAAATGGAAGAAGCCCAGTGAAATTAGAATTTCCAGTAACAGCAAATAATTTGTTAATGTATATATGAACCATTCCCTATATGGGACATACTTATACTAAAAAATTATATATAGTTTATCTAGAATTCTATTGATACTTGAATGGGGTGCTGTATCTTGGTTTATTAAATCCAGCCACCTAACTAGGGGATAAGCCTCTCCCCCAGGTGATTTGTGGCTATAGATGGGGAGATAGGGAGTGTTTCTGTCATTGCTCCCTTCTGGGTAGAGAGAACTTCTATTTTTTATTTTTATTCTGATTTTCATTACTTCTAATTGTATATCTTTTTCTTAAGGAGTCAGCTTTAGTTTATCATGAGAAAAAAAAAAATCTCATGTTAAGGACATTATGTCTTCCTTAGATTATTGTCCTCTCTTAAAATTGATTTTTTTAGATGAAGTAAACACACAAATCACAACTCCATGGACACAGGAGCACATGCAATGGAATGTCTCTTCCAACCCTGTGGGCCTTGGTCACCCAGCTCCCTTCTCCACTCCTCTGTATTTGCTGTCAAAGACATTTTACTGCCATGGCCTCCTGTCTTCCTGGCCCCAGCCTTGCCCACCTGCCTGCATGCTGTGATCTGTAGGTGTTTCACTTCCAATCATGTTGCCTCCTGAATTAAAATACTTCTGTGGTTTTCCATGGCATGAGAGAAAGAATTTGCCAGCCAATTAGGATAAAGGCACTCGGTGCCAGCTTCCGGGACACTTGGCAACATCCTTGCCAGTCTCACATGGCACCACAGAAACACGACCCACCTCCCAGCCACCCTCACTCCCCAGCTATTCTGGCTTCCATGCTCTTGCTCATGTTTCTCTGTCAGATATTTATTGCACACAGACAGATCTACCGAGTGCCAGGCACTGGGGGCTAGGAAGGACACAGCGGGAAGGAACAAAACTGAAATGTCCCTGCTTGGTGACTCAGGTTCTGGCAGAGAACGGTTAATAGACAAATAGTTACAATAAAGGCCTTTGTGGTGCTAGGGTTAGAGCAAGAGCTCTGGGGTCAAAGCAGGCCTCCTAGAAGAAGGGACATTTATGATCTGAACAGACATCAGCGAACCACAAGGGGCAGGCAGGGGAGAGGGTCCTGGGTCAAGGGAATGGTGTATGCAAAGGCCCTGAGCCACAGCTAAGCGTCACAAATCCAGGGTGGTAGGAACACCAAGAAGACAGGAAGAGTGTGAGAGATGCAGGGAGAGAAGACCCCGGGAAGCCACTCCACAGAGTGAGTTTCATCCTGAGGGCAATGAGAAGGTCTGGGGGGAGGACGGACACAGGAAACATGGGGTGGATTTGTGGCTGTTGGGCAGAGACTAGATTGGAGGAGACCTTGTTGCTCTCTCTAGAATGAGAGAAAGGACAGCAGTCTGGGCAAGCATGAGAGTACTGAGGACAGTGAGATACTTTATGGGTGAGGTGGTGTGAGGAATGACTTTCCAGGGACCTAGTTGGCTTGGAGGACTGATGGACCCTGGAGGTGTTCTCTGGGGTGAAGTTTCTGAGTCCCTTTTCAGACTTGTTGAATTGGTGAGGTTTGCCATGTCCCCATCAAGATGTTCAGCTGGCAGATATGCAGACTGTCAATGTCAGGAAAGTGGTCTGGGGTGGAGATTCCAGCTTGGGAGCCTAAGCATAAAGATAACAATAACAATGTTATCTAGCCCTTACTGAGCACCTGCTAAGTGTCAGACACTTTTCTACAAGTTCCATCCCCAGCTAGTCAGGGAGAAACCCACATGGTGCGGCAGACCTCTCCTGACTCACCCGCTTCTCCCCTCAGCAGTGTACTTCAGTCAGTCTGCCTGTTCTACTCCCCACTCTGTCTCTGGTGAATCCTCTCATTGCCCCCCCTCCCATCTCTGGCCTGTACCCCAGCTCTTGTATGCATAAATAAATCAATCTTAAAAAAAATAAATTCTTGACTTACATTAATGTATAGGACAACCCTATGAAGGAGGTGCCTTCACTCTCGTCATTTTATTGCTGAGGGGGCAGTTAAGACCTGTAACCAAGATGACACAACCACTAAGTGACAGAGCCAGGGCTGGGACTGAGCAGTCCAGCTCCGGCATGCCTGCTCGTAACACACCATACAGCCTCTCCCTCAGATGGCTGATTAAGGCCCAGAGTAGATGAGACAGACTTCAGAATTGTGAGGAAGAAGGCAGATGACCAGCCCTGAGGAACCTGAGCCTCTAAAGCCACCGGTGCAAACCTGTGGCCCAGGGCTTGAGTTCTGCTCTTGGATAATTTTTCCCTGAGATATTTAGAGTTTCATTTTTTAAAAATTAATTGCCATGGGCCTCCCTGGTGGTGCAGCGGTTGAGCGCTGGGTTGCGGAGCTGCCCACAGCCTCTTCAGTGCTGGTTCGATCCCCGGCTGCTCCCCGGCCACCTGAGGAGGGTCCCACATGGCGCGCAGACCTCTCCTGCCGCCCGCTGCTCCCCTCAGCAGTGTACTTCGGTCCTTCTCCCTGCTCTGCTCCCCGCTCTGGCTCTGGTGAATTCTCTCGCCCTCCTGCGTTTCTGACTGTACCCAGTGCTTGTATAAATAAAAAAATATAAATAAATAAATAAATCTTAAAAAAAAAATTTAATTGCCATACAAAAATTAACTTGAAACAAATCAAAGACCTAAACATAACAGCTAGAGCTATAAGATTCTTAGGTGAAATCACAGGTGGAAAGCCTCCTGACACTGAATTTGGCAGTGATTTATTGGATGACCCCCAAAGCACAGGGCACAAAAGGAAAACAGATAAATTGGACTTCATGAAAATCAAGCACTTAATTTTTTTCAACTTTACTGAGGTAAAGACACTTTCAGCAGAGTGAAAAGGCACCCCACAAAGTGGGAGAAAATATTTTTAAGTCACATATCTGATAAGCAATTAATATCCACACTACAAAAAAAAAAAAACCACAACAAAACCCTAAAACACAAGAACAAAAACCAAACAACCCAATTTTAAAAATGGACAAAGGATTTGAACAGATATCTCTCCAAAGAAGACATACAAATGACCTGTAAGCACAAAAAAAAAGATGCTTAATGTCCTGGTTCCACCACTGACTTCTTATATTGTATTATGACTCCTTCCCTTTCTAGACTAAGTCCCCCCAAAGTAGGAGCCTGGTCCTGGGGATCAAATTAGTGCTCAGTGTCTGGCCACATCCGCCTATGTCTAACCTGGCTGTTGGGAAGCTGGGTGGCCTGGGAAAGGGCATGTCCAGCTGCCCCAGGGTAAGGCTTCTCCAGGTGGGTGGGGACCGGGGCCTGGCAACACACAAAACTCCTTTATTCTGTGTTAGCTCAACGAATGCCCTCGCCCCTATCACCAGCCCGAACTTGCAGGTGAGGAAAGTGAAGCTCAGAGAGGCCAGGGCAATTGTTCGCGGCTGTGGCGTGACCCACTGGCTAGATCTGGACACACATCCAGTCCTTCCCCCACCTTATGAGAAAAAATACAGAACGCTTCGCGAATGTGCGTGTCGTCCTTGCGCAGGGGCCAAGCTAATCTCCGCATTATTTCAGTTTTACTCCAAGCGCGGAGCGAGCCCGCTGCCGCCCCTCAGCCCGGCGCCCTGGCCGCGACGCCCGGGGCTCCCACCCCGCCTCTTGCCAACGCGCGCGTTTAGCCACGAGGGGGAGCCAGATGTTCGCGCACGCGGAAGCGGGGCCCAGCCTGAGTTGGGGGTGCCGGCTGCTCCTTGAGGAAGGCCCTCCCGACTCCCGCGCGTGGAACTGGGGAGGCCGGGCCCCCAAAACGTGTGTGGTGGCTGTAGGGGGCCGGGGATCGGGGCGGGGGCGGCAGGGATCGCGGCAGGAGGAGGGAAGGGCCCTCGTGGCCTCAGGGCGCTGCCCCTTCTGGCGCAGCCGGGAATGGGCCGAGCTGGAGAGAGGGCGGGCGACTCGGGGAGGGCCCCCTGCCTCCGCCTGCATTCTCCTCAGTCTCGCGCAGAAAGAGGCCGGACATTCCTCAGGCTCCGGCGGGAAACCAGGAAATAGACAGGGGGGCCAGTCTCCCCGCAGCTTGGGTCAGTTCCTCCAAAGCCCGCCCCGTCCAGGGGCTTCCTGGAAGAGCCCAGGCCAGCCAGAGGCCCCACCCCCGCCCGCCCCCCCTTACTAACCCCCCCCACTCCTGCCCTCCTGGCTTTTTCCTCCCAGGCTGTGGGGTCAGACCCAGGCCCTCAGCGCCAGACCAGTACAAGGCATTGTTAGCCTCAGACTTCTCGGTTGACCAGTCCCCTGAAGCCTGGCTCTCTTCCAGAGCTCCCCTTCTCAGTGAAAGATCCCGGCATCCGTCTGGTTATTTGACCCAGAAAACTTGGGATCATCCTTGATGCCTCTTTTTTTCTCCCCCATGTCCAAGCCCGTTTTTCACCTCCTGTCTGCGTGCTGGCTGGACCTAGCAGTGCCCATCATTTCTCCAGAAGGGGTGCTCTTGTCCGGACCCCACCTGGGACTCCTCTGCCTCTCACAGCTGAGACCCTTTTTCAGGAGGGAGCCCTGAAAAATCCTTTCAAATCATCAGCCTGATCATGTTATCCACCTGCTGAAATCTTTCAACAGTTTCTCCCCACTTCTAATAAAGACGGAACTGGTAACATAGCTCATAGTCCGGTGTGGCATATCCTGCCGACTTCTCTAGGGCCACCCTCCGTGTTCCAGCTCCAGTCCTATCACTTGATGACAGGGATGTGTTGTGAGACACACACCCACCCATTAGGCAATTTTGTAACTGTGCAAACCTGGACTGTATAGCCTACTACATGCCTAGGCTGTGTGATAGGGCATTGGGACGCAGTCCGATATGTGATCCGTCGTTGACTCACAGAGCCTTTGCACAGGCTGTCTCTCCAGCTGGAACCCCACCTTTCTGCCTTAACTCCTACTCCTTCAGATCGTAGCTCCAGCATTGCTTTCTCAGAGACACACTCCTTGACTTCCCTGATCAAGTCAAGTTCCTTATATACTCTTCTAGCACCACATACTTTTTCATATTTGTCAATTATAATTGTCCACTTCTTCATAATATTATTTAACATCTAGTTCTTCTTCTAGGCTAAGCTCCATGAACATAAGGACCATTTCAATTTTGCTCACCTAAAAATCTATAGCATCTATGTACCTGGAGCATAGTAGATGCTCATTAAGTGTTTCTTGGGGCCTCCCTGGTAGTGCAAGGGGTTAAGTCTCAGCACTATGAAGCTATCCACAGCCAGTGCAGCATGAGTTCGATCCCCGGGCAGGGAGCTACCCACATGACGCAGCAGACCTCTCTTGTCTCGCCCGCTGCTCCCCTCAGCAGTGTATTTTAGTCAGTCTGCCCGTTCTGCTCCCCACTCTGTCTCTGGTGATTCCTCTCAGCCTCCACACCTCTGGCCTGTACCCAAGTTCTTGGATGCATAAATAAATCAATCTTCTTTAAAAAGTGTTTCTTGAATAAGTAGGCAAATTAAAGTTGTTCATTTTTCTCCCTCTATTTCCGGAGCCTATGACTCTCTCATCTCTTTTCTGAACCTCAGCAATCACTTTGAACTGGTCTTCAGGTCTATACCCAGCAGAATGGTCTAATAAAAATGCCAACCTGACCACGTCACCCTTCCCACCCTGTTAAATAGCCTTCAGTAGCAGCTTTCTATAGCCCTTGAAATACAAGCCAGACTACTGCCCACAGCCTTACAAGGCCGTGCATGGTCTGGCTCACCTCGTGCAGGCTCCACCCCCTCAACAGATCTTTCTTAATTCAACAAATAGAGTGTCTGTTGTACCATGCCTAGGGTTCAGTGGAGAGCAAATACAGACTCCTTCAGATATGTTTACAGTCCTGCAGACTCCAACACCTCTTCTACATGCAGTACCCTTGCACATGCTTTCCCCCTTGTCTGGAAAGTGCTTCTCTCTTCTCTTTATGCTCCTGAATTTGTGCAGTCAACACTTACCCATCAAATCTGATTAAACCCCATTTATTCAGAGATATCTGACCCCCAACTTAGGATCCTGTAAAATGCTCTTTTTGCTCCCTCTATGCCACCTTCATAGCACTGGCCACTTTTCTAAGTTTGTATTTGTTTGCTGGTTATTTGGTTAATATCTTTTTTTTTTTAAAGATTTATTTACTTATGCATACAAGAGCTGGGGTACAGGCCAGAGATGGGGGGGGAGAGGATCCACTAGAGACAGAGTGGGGAACGGAACAGACAGACTGACTGAAATACACTGCTGAGGGGAGCAGCAGGTGAGCCAGGAGAGGTCGCTTTCACCATGTGAGTCTCTCCCTGGCCGGCTGGGGATCGAACTTGTGCTGCAGAGGCTGTGGATTGCTTCATATTGAGATGCTTAACCCCTTGTGCCACCAGGGAGGCCCTTAATACCTATCTTTCCCACTAGGAAGCTCCAGGAGCTTCCACATCTGGTTTTTTATTACCATCACAGCAGCCTAGCTGCTGCTGCACTATTTATTTACTTTTTAAAAGATTTATTTATTTATGCATACAAGAACTGGGGTACAGGCCAGAGGTGTGGAGGGTGAGAATTCACCAGAGACAGAGCGGGGAACAGAACAGGTAGATTGACCAAAGTACACTGCTGAGGGGAGCAGCAGGCGAGTCAGGAGAGGTCTGCTGTGCCATGTGGGTCTTCTCTCTGGCTGGGGATCGAACTCGTGCTGCAGTCGCTGCTGATAGCTTCATAGGTTGTGTCTTAACCCCTTGCGCCACCAGGGAGGTCCTGCTGCACTATTTATTGAGTGAATAAATGAGTGATCCCATGTAAGAATATTCCGAGGTTGGGCCTCCCTGGTGGCGCAAGGGGGCTTCTCAGCACTATGAAGGTATTACCAGTCACTGCAGATCCCTGGCCAGGGAGCTACCCACATGGTGCAGTAGACCTCTCTGTCTTGCCCGCTGCTCCCCTCAGCAGTGTATTTCAGTCAGTCTGCCTGTTCTGTTTCCCACTCTGCCTCTGGTGAATCCTCTCTCTTCCCTGCACCTCTGGCCTGTACCCCAGCTCTTGTATGCATAAATACATCTTTTTTAAAAAAGAATATTCCAAGGATACTGTCTTCAGGGAATTGTTGATGCCTCTGACAGTGTGAATATAAGCTGGGGTGGGCGGGGGGCCAGAATTGGTGTGCAAGAGAGCTCTCACCAAGGAGAGGCCTAGAAGCTGTTCTATTCCCGCTTCATCCTCATCATACTGTGACTTGGTGCCACCTCTCCCACCCCATCTGGCTCTCCCCATTTTCATACCACCCCTGCTCCAGCAACACTGCTCTTGTTCCTCCAGGGCTTCCCACTTAATACGCCTCCACTTGTAGCTCTTCTCCCTGCTTTTTTTCACTGGTTGGCTCCTCCTCAGGTCCAGTTTAACCGTGTCTTCTTTGGAGGGTAAGTCTTCTCTGAGTAGGTCTCCTGGTTATTGGCCACCTGCCAGCCAGCTTGTTTCCTTCATTGTAGCTCACAACAGAAATGCACTTATGTTTGTGTGTCTTCTGTGTTTCTAGATGAGCTAGAAGCTTTTGGCTGCACATCACAGAAAATCTGTCTTCACTGGCTTTAGCAAGAAGGAAAGTTATCTAGAAAGGTGGGATGGATTGGGGGGCTGGTTAATTCAGTGATGTTCTCAGGGAACTTGTCGTTGGCTTTGTCCTCAAGGTAGTTAGCAGGCTGGATGCAGCAGTTCCAGGCATCAGTTAGAGAGCTCACATCACACCAGCAGCATTTTCTCCTTGTTATAGCTTAATTAACTATTGCTATGTAACAAATCATCACAAAACTTATTAGCTTGAAACAACATTTATTATCTCACAGTTTCAGAGGGTTACAAACCCAGGAGTGGCTTAGCTGGTGGGTTCTCATGAGGTTATAGTCAAGCTTTTGGCCAGGGCTAAAGTCATCTGAAGGTTGAACAGGGGCTAGAGGACCCACTTCCAAGCTTATTCATGTGGTTGTTGGCAGAAGGCTTCGGTCCCTTGACACATGGGCCTCTCTATCAAGCCCCGACGTGGCAGTTGCTTTCCTCCAGAGGGAGTGATCCAAGAGGGAGTGCAACCAAGTCAGGCGCTATGATGTCTTTTCTTGGACAGACTTGACACCATCACTTCTGTTGTATTCCTGGCCACTCAGCCCAGCCCTGGTACAGCCTGGGGACCCAGGAGGAACACTAGGAAGCAGGGGTTACTGGGAAGTCATCTTAGAGGTTGGTTCCTCTTTTTTTTTTTTTTTAGTGAGGAAATTCTCTTTGAAGCACCAGATGTTTTTCTGAACATCTGTTGGCTGGAATTGTATCACACTTCCATACCTTAACCAGTCGGTCACAAGGGGCTTGGAATAATCATTTTTATTTTGATCATTTTTAGCTCATTACCATCAGGATTCACCCCTGGGATTAGGAGTCACCTCTGCTGAAGCACAGGAAGTGATCTAGAAGGAAGATAGCCTCCTGAACAAAATCAGGATTCTGTCTGGAATGAGGAAGGGGTGATGGGAATGGCTGCTGAATAGTACACTGGCTCCCAGTGTCTACAATGCTTATGCAAACTCCATGTGACCTGAGGCT